CTGACCCATTATGGGGCTCACTCCCTAATCTGCACATGCTTAGAACTGATCCAGGGGACTTCACTGCTGGCACAGTTGTTAAGAATCCACCTGCCAATGCAGGGGACACGGGTTCGAGCCCTGGCCTGGGAAGATCCCACATGCCACAGAGCAACTAAGCCCGTGCACCACAACTACTGAGCCTGTGCTCTAGAGCCCATGAGCCACAACTACTGAGCTCACGTGCTGCAACTACTGAAGGCTGCGCACCTATAGCCTGTGCCCTACAACAAGAGAAGTCACAACAATGAGAAGCCCGCGCACCGCAACGAAGAGTAGCCCCCGCTCGTCGCAACTAGAGAAAGCCCGTGCACAGCAGTGAAGACCCAACGCAGCCAAAAATCAATCTATCAATCAACCAATAATTTAAAAAAAAAAGAACTGACCCAAAGCAGCATTGCAAGGGCTTTGAAAATTGTACTGACATAGAAGCCACACATAACTTGCAATCCAAATATAGCCAAGCTGACTGCCTACTAAAACAAACAAACTGACAAAAAAATCAACATTCTCCAGAGAATTTTAACAGGGCTGACAGACTCACTACCTAATATTCGAAATACAAGATACAATCCAAAGTTACTCAACATACAAAAAACCAGGAAACTGTGATCAATTCTCAAGGGAAAAGAAAATTAAGATGTGCCAACCCCAAAACAACCTAGATATTGGAAATATCAATTACTTTAAAGTAGTCATCATATCCATGCTTCACAAAGATAAACATTCCTTAAGTGAATAGAAACACAGTTCTTGCAAAATAACAGAATCAATAGCAAAAACTCAAATCGAAATTTTAGGGCTGAAAATAAAATAAACATTTCATCTGAAATAAAAATGTCACTGCAATGGCTTGATAACAGAATAGAGACAGTGAGAAAGGAAAGGGCCAGTGAAATTGAAGATTAGATTGAAAATAGATTATAGAAGTTATCTCATGTGAGAGGGGAATAAAAAAACAGAGCATTAGCAAATAATCTAACATTTGAGTCACTGGAGCCCTAGAAGGACAGGAGAAGCAAATTAGTATAAAAAGAATTTTTGAAAAAAATAATGGCCAAAACTTCCCTAATTTGGTGAAAGACACAAATGTACAGATTCAAGAAGCTCAGGAAACCCAAACAGGATAAATGCAAAAAAAAAAAAAAAAAAAAAAAGGCAGATTCATCAAATCAAACTTCTAAAGACCAAAGGTTTTTTTTTTTCTTAAATCTTAAAACTTCACACATTACATATAATGGAACAACCATTTGAATTATTGCTGATTTCTCATCAGAAACTATGGAGAGCAGAAGATAGTGGAATAACATTTTTAAGAGCTGAATGAAAACAACTATCAGCCCAGAATTCTATATTCAGTGAAAATACCTTTAAGGAATGACAGTGAAATAAAGACATTCTCTTGGGCTTCCCTGGTGGCGCAGTGGTTGAGAGTCCACCTGCCGATGCAGGGGACACAGGTTCGTGCACCGGTCCGGGAAGATCCCACATGCTGTGGAGCGGCTGGGCCCATGAGCCATGGCCGCTGAGCCTGCGCGTCTGGAGCCTGTGCTCCGCAACGAGAGAGGCCACAACAGCGAGAGGCCTGCATACTGCAAAAAAATAAATAAATAAAGACATTCTCACATGAAGCAAAAATAAAAGAATTTGTCACAAGCAGATCTGCTCTAAAAAAAGTGATAAAAGAAGTTCTTTAGGCTGAAAGGAAATTATACTAGAGGGACACTTGGAACTTCAGGAATGAAGGAAGAACACAGAAATGGTAAATATCTGGGTATTATAATAGATGCTTTTTCTTCTTTTTTAAAAATATGTATGACTTGAGAACAGAAGTTATAACCTTCTCCAGTTTTCAATATATGTACATGTACTACTTCAGACAACTGAAGTATTAGTATAAAGAGTGGAGGATAAATGGATAAATATCATTTTAGGCTTGAAATAAACAGCTGGGAAGCCCAAAAAATAGAGGACCTAGGGTTCAGGGATACTTTGGCAATGGGTCTTCATATGATACGTACATGCTACTAAATCCTTTCACAAAATGTTGACATTTTTAGATGTGTTGATGTGAGGGAAAATGCATTTAAACTATTTTGATAAAGAGATAACAGTTTCCTATATTGCTAAGTTTTATTTCTCCCTTATTTATCAACTTCTTTGTCTGAAAGGATATACAACAAACATATGAGAATTGGGTGATAGAAACAACAAGGAAGGATGAAGGTCATTTGTAGTAGTATGTGCCACCAGAAGACAGCTTTGCTTTCCCGTATCCATAATTTAGATTAAATCTACATAAATATCCACACACTTATGAAAATGAGACAATTACACAGATAAGCAACAGGTATAAAACTCTTTTTCTGCAATGAGTTCTCACAAAAAGAGATATCAGGAAATGGTAATTACTCTCAGACAATTACCTTAATTCTCCAGTTAGCACTTGTCAACACAGCTTTAGAAAACATTAGTGTACAAATATAACACAGTCTTCAAACTTTTGCTTATGAACCACCTAAGAGAATTTACAAAATCATGTGCTCTCTCACACATCTTTGGTTGACATCTAAAATTCTTCATCATAAATTTAGAAAGTGGCAAAGTGTATCATGAACATTGAAATTTTAAAATAAAACCATTACATCATCTCTTCAATGTCCAAAGGAATAGTAATTTCATATCCATCATCATTTGTTTTTAAAATTCACGAATAAGGCCTTCTTTAGAAGTCAAAAAGTTTATACCATTTCTTTTTCTCCTTCAACTTACATTCTACTCACCTCATGAAATTTCACCATATCCTAATATGTTTTTATGCTTAAAAGACATTTATTTCTTGATCATCTATCATATCTCTCTGCAACAAAATATTTGTAGATTGAATTTTAATTTTTTTTAAACTTCAATTTTTTGGTACACAAGTGAGCAAAACAAACTAAATATATCATGAATTTTGGTGAATGCTTATAAACAACAAAAAATTTAACACATCTCTTGACATAAGTTTTCCCCATTTACCTAATGTATCCATGTATGACTATTACTTATTGCTTGAAAGAGACAGCATCAATTCTATCCCTATTTTCACTTGTATTGACGTAAGCACTGAGAAACTTTGTTCACATGAGTAAGTATATGGGAATGGAAAAAGCTAGGTATAGTAATATCACCCAATTCTTTAAACTCATTCCAAGTTAGATGCCAAAAATTACATAGAAATCTATCATAAAAATTACTTGTAATGATCTATCCACTGACAACTTCACTAGTTCCTCCTTTAAAATTTCTGAAAACAAAGAATTGTTTTCAACCTGACTTTTAAAAGAATATATTGACCTGGGCAGTTACTGTCTGTGGCTAAGGTTTCTACTACAGATGCTAATATAAGGAAAAACATAGAAGAATTTTTGCAACTCAAAATAACTTGTAAACAGTGTAGAGGTTGTTTTACTCCAAAAGAGAATCTAAAATCTGAGATAAAAGGAAAATAATTTATTACGCAGCCATCATAGCCATTCACTTTCACAATGTCTGGGAAATAAACCAAAAAAGCAATACGAAGATTTACCAAATCCATATTTGTTTTGTTCTCATTTAGAAGCATCTTGCCTTACCTGAAATAACCCTTAAAAGACTAGCAAAATGGAAACAGTATTAATTTAACGTAAAATATTTTTTATAAAATATTTTCATTTCATCATGTGTTTTATATATTTTTGCTGTACCTTGGAGCTGCAGATATAACTTATTCAATATGCAGAAAATGTGCTATTGACCATGTAATCTAATTAGTAAAGTCGATCCTCACTGTCAAACCAATCATCTAAATAAAATTCACTTTGAGAAAAAGTGTGACAATTTTCAATTCAAATGAATGTGTTAGTATATGAATTTGATGTAAATTTTCTAAAAACTGAGAAATAGATCACAAAATATATCTCATAAGCTCAATTATTAAAACCAATCAAGATTAAAATGATGTAAGAACTAATAGAATTAGTTTATACATTTTTATAATGTCATAAAACCAGGAATAAATCTATATGGGTCTGTCATCACTTAACTCATAATAGTAAAACATAATCAATAAATATTATTTATGAATTAGAATATGATTTTTTAAAAGCACAGTATTCCTTTAAAAAAGTATATCCATGTGTATACTGAAATTTGGTTTTCAGATTTCAGGAATAACTAAATAAAAATCACATATAAAAATTCTGTAATAGCTCTAACCAGTTTTTTTTTTGAAGTAGTAATAAAAACTTTTCCCATATATTTAATGAGGAATAAAAGTATGTTGTTAAAAATAGATCAGTCCTGGGCTTCCCTGGTGGCGCAGTGGTTGAGAGTCCGCCTGCTGCTGCAGGGGACGCGGGTTCGTGCCCCGGTCTGGGAAGATCCCACGTGCCGCGGAGCGGCTGGGCCCGTGAGCCATGGCCGCTGAGCCTGCGTGTCCGGAGCCTGTGCTCTGCAACGGGAGAGGCCACAACAGCGAGAGGCCCGCGTACCACAAAAAAAAAAAAAAAAAAAAAAAAAAAAAAAAAAAAAAAAAAAAAAAATAGATCAGTCCGGCAGCTAACACATAATTTTTTGATAATAAGAAGCACAAAGTATCAAACATGTTAAAAGATAAAGTGAGGTCAGGATGGGAGTATTTATATACTGATGCAGAATTTGATAAAATAAGTATATCAGACAGGATAGGCTAGGTCATGCTGCAGTAACAAACAACAAAATGGTATGACTCAAAACAACAAAGGCTTCTTTCTAACCTAAGCTACATGCACACTGTGGCTGGCAGAACAGATCTGCTCCTCATAATCACTCAAGGGCCCAGGCTGACAGAGCAATGATCCCCTGCACCAGAGGGAAAGGACAGCTCTAGAGGTTTCATATGGGTAAAGGCAATACTTCTGTTCATAACTCACTGGCCAGAAATAATCCTATGGCCTTACCCAATTCCACGATTGCCATGAAATTAACTCCAACCTTATGCCTAAAAAGGGAGGGAATGGGAACTATTTGGTGATCTGTGATTTTTACAACACGTTTTAAGTTTTATCGAACAACACATACCAAATCTAAAATAAAATTACATATGACATTTTTTGCAGATTATTCTGTATAATGGGAAAAAACAGGAAGGTCTCTTAAAATAATCCATTTTATATTTAAAAGAATCACTGTCACTAACCTCCACTCCTTCAGCTGTTCAAAGTCACGTTTCTTTCCAGATAATGACACATCTTACAGATAAGTGTTCAGAATAGCTGGAAAATATTGCTTATGTTTAAATCTGTGAAAAAAATTTAGGGTTCAATATTTTCTTCAATGCTGGTTTTGCTTTGCTCTCACCAGACTCTCCTTCAATAATAATGCACTTCTTAACCACAGAGATAAAAGAGATGTGATGATTAAAAGAGATGTGATGAAAATTACTATCACTCCCACCATTCACACTCACACGGTATATCTGATTTCAGAAAGTCACAACAAATATCCAATTACCATATTTCTAACAGCCTTACTTCACTCTTACCTGGGATATATGTAAGATGGGAAAAGACAGGAAGCCTAAGAAGGGTTTATAATGCCTTGATTAATAATTAAAGGAAGCTTCTCCCAAAACATGTTGAATTGTCCCTTTGTTTGTCATCCCAGAGGGTTCTACACCCTAGGTGAGGGATATACCTTTCTTTTGTAAAGTTAGAAAAGAACTATTGTAAATGCAGAAGAAGGAAAGAAGAACTTACACAACACTAGGAAAGAGTATAAGGGCTCTATAAGTTAATTTACTTCAAGGAGTAGGTATCCACCTGCCCCGTGGACTATTCCACACAATAAGAACTTGAATTGATGGGAGCTTTAATTCCTGCTCAAATAGCAAGAAACATTTGCCACTGAGTATGATGAGGAATGAATTTGCTTACAGAAGAGGCTTTCCATTTTACCACAACTTAGAGTGAGCAGTATATTTTACATCATGATCCAATACACATATACATACTGTTTCATGAAACAATAATTACCCTCACTACATGTGATGCACTCTGATACTTCCTATTCTAATGTCTTTTAATGCTGTTCACGACCCACTAAATTGATTTCACAACCAACTAATGATTCATAACCCACAAATTTAAAACACTGGGCTATAGAAAATAGAAATATATAAGGCAATCTCTGACTATAACAAGTGTCCTTAAGGAAGCTTTAGCTTGGAGGTACAAGTGGGTAAGCCAAAGTCTGGAAGTTAATATCCACAGGAGGTTAAATTTTATTGTTACATTAGTTTGCCCATCATAATATTTAAACTTCCCCATTGGTCAGTAACAGCTTTTATAGGCCTATTATCATAGACTTGCTGTTTCCAACTCTGTGGTAGACAGGAAAATGTCCCCCAAGGTTATCAGTCCTAATCCCTAGAACTTGTAAATCCCACTATATATGTGACAAGGGCCCTGGCAGATATGAATAAATTAAGAATCTTGAGATGGGGAGATCATCCGGGATTATCCTGTGGGCCCTAAATGCAATTACACATAACCCTATAAGAGGAAGGCAGTAGGAGATCCGATACACATCGAGGAGAAGGTGATGTAAAGAGGAGGCACAGAGATATTTGAAGATTCTGGCCTTGAAGATTGGAATAATGTGGCCATAAGTCAGTGAATGCCAGCAACCATCAGAAGCTGGAAGAGTGAAAGAAATTATTCTACCCCAGAGCCTCTGGAAGGAGTGTGGCCTTGCCAACACCTTGATTTGGGCCCACTGATACTGATTTTGGACTTCTGGCCTCCAGAACTGTGAGACAATAAAGTTCTGATGTTTTCAGCCACCAAGTTTGTGGTATTTTGTTATAGCAGGCTCCGAAACTAGTATAAGCCCTATGAAATTGACTTAATAAGAGACAAGGTACAAAGTGCCCCATAGTACACAGCCCTCTGTAACTCTCTATACCTTGCTATATTTTAAGAAAGAGTTATGGTAGCTTACGGAGAGTCACAAAACATCCTGATAACACAAATAATAAATAGGCGAAAAGGGAAAAACCAAAGATATATATGCAAAACAGAGCCAACAAGGTTTATATTTGTGTATGCAAATATACATATAATAGTTCCTGCCCTGAGTCCACAGCAAATTTGGCTTTAAAGTTTCTAACAGCCAGTATTCAAAGGAAGTCTCCTTGTTTATGTGATTCAGTGGTTATTAGATAAAAACAAGCCAAGACAAGGTGAAATTCCTACCCAGGATATTTCTTTTGGACTGAGCTATGCATGCTATACTCATTACACCCTGTGTCAACTTCTTAAGCCAGACCCAAGATAACAAGGCTACTAATTATATCATAGGTTGATAACATATCGAAACTTAACTTGATAAAAACAAATTCTATAGCACATATTGATAAGATATCAAAACCTAATAAAACAAAATTCTATAGGAGGGAAGAGGGTGTCAATAGAATACCCTCTAGGAATATAGCTTGCCACTGATTTACCTTAATTCCGGGGTACATTTTAGAGTATTTATGACAGGCCTTGAAAAATGCTCAGAAAATAAGAAGTGTTCTCAGCTGAACTATTAAATATTCAACAAATGCTTCAGCCAATGCCTATATGGCTTGCTTGAGAGCAGATGTCTTACGGAGTAAAATACAGTGTTTCTACTGTCAAGCGGGGTCTAGATAACTACTGAGGAGTCAGATAAATACCCCATCCCTACTCCCTGAAGAAGCTTCCAGGCCAGTGGGGTAGAGAAACACAGAGCACTCCAAATAGTTCCCCTAATCCAGCAAAGGGGTATCAAGAATGGCCTCCGGGAAGCGATACTAATTGACTGTTAGAGATGAGTAGTTCGGTGGGAGGGAGGGGAATGGCACCCCTGATGAGTCAGAAGTTTCTTCAGCCCCTAAAGTCAAGCAATGCGCTTGGAGCACGTCAAGGCCTAAGCTGGATGAAAAGAGAAAGAAATCACGCAGAAAGAAAGTGGAAGGAGGAAAAGAAAAAAAAAAAATGCATTTCATTCTCCACCACATGGCACACGCATAAACATTGCTTCAGAGGTTGGGGGGTTGGGGTCAGCGCTATAGCCATTTCCAACAAAAGAGAGTTAGCGAACCCTGCAGGACGTTCATGAAAGCCAAGCCTCTCGCCCCTGAACCTGCGTTCCGTCAGTCCTCCGCTCACCTGGAGGCGCTCGTCTCACTGCGCAGGCGCCAGGTCAGACGTTAGGAGTTCCGGGTCTCTCACTAAGACTCCACTCTAGCCGCCAAACTTCCGTTTCTCTACTGCTCCCCGCTGAAGTCTCCGGCAGGAACTGGGGGGCGGGCCTTCCGGGAAAGGGGCGCGCGGCAGAGGAGGCTTGCGAGTAGGTAAGTCTGTAGGTGACTGTAGTGAGTTATGGGCAATGGCTGCAGAGACCCTGCGGAGGTCTCCAACCTTGTAGAGTCGCCAGGAATAGGACGAGTCAATTTCATTAAGCAGCTCGGAGGTTTCACAGGTCTCCCCCAAACAACTTGGCCTTTTCCTGCATAACTTGGCGAGATTTACCAAACGAAGGACGCTAGCCTAGTTTCCTCTCCGGCGCAGTTACTCTCTTCCTGTTTAGGCAGCATTCAAGGCTCGGTTTCTCTGCTCATCAGTTGGCCTTAGCTTTGTGGGGCTGGGGGTGCAGATTAGTTTTGTTACCAGCTTCAGAAAAGTACGATTGAATGATATTTAAGAAAAATATTAGCGAAATGCGCTACCGATTTAAACGTCGGTTGACTTGACACTGTTGCTTCCATCACAGGCAGGCGTGATCCAGGCGGTTGGAGGTTGGGGGTGTTCTTGTTGAATTGAGTAAAGCTTGACATCCATTCAGAGCCGTTCGTGTCTCTGCGACCCAGTAAAATAAGCGGTACTGGGCTTTAAAAAAAAAAAGCACTGTGTCTAGATTTTTCTGTGAAACACGTGTGCACATTGTGTGAGTTCCTTGAGGCCTGATAACTCTATTAGGGCAGGCCCTGGGCCATGAGTTTCGCACGTCAGCCTCATAATTCAGTGAGATAGTACAACTGTCCTGTAGTAGATGAGAAAACGAAGGCAAAGAATACATACTACTGCAAACACGATATGTCCATTAAAGTGCAGAGGCAAGATTCCAACCAGCTTTTCTCCTCCAGAGCTGGCGCTCTCCACTAACCCGTGGTTTTTGAGAAACCTCCCTCCCCACCAGAATTTACACACACACACACACACACACACATTTCAGCATTCACTTTTAAAGTTCCCCCCGGGGATTCACCACACTGAGGGTTACCCAGGTTAAGAACTCCTGCACATTATCTGCACTTTTCAACGAAAAAAGGCAAACCTAATCCAAAGCCAGTTACTGTATAAACCTGACCTTTTAAATGCATCAGACCTATCAGAACGATCAGAGAAACTTAGCCTTTTATGCTAAAGTAAAGAGATGGATATTTTCTCCTATGGGCTTAACATGTTTTGCTCCGGCACATTTCAGTAATTTGTTTTTGCTTAGCATTTTCAAGTCCAGGTAATTTTTCTTCATGATACTGTTTTCTTTAGTTCACATTTAAAGAAACTTTGATATTTTAAGTGACTATTCTCTACCCCTTAGAATAGCTTCATGTGAATAAAAATCTAATTTTTTTGCCTTTTACCTTAATGTCTTTCACACGGTCATCATGGTTTTTTTAAGATAAAGTTGAAAGTTTCTGTAAAGGGGCATACCAGGGTCCTGAAAAATCCTAGGTAAGGCTTTCCAATCTTTAAAAAAACGTAAAGCTAATAGAGTGGCAGTTTGCCAGTCTCAGGACCAATATTTATGGACAGCAGAACTTGTGAGCTGTTTTAGTCTATGTAACAGGAAGGTTTACCAAGCTCCTATGCTGTACTTCATCAGAAGCATACAGGTCTGTGCTCTGTAAGAGACTACAAAGCAGTAGTTGGCAACTGTCATAGGCATTTTCAGTTTGCTTCTATTTAGCAAGTGTTTCTGTTTCTAGTAAAGGATTCAGGTTTGGAGAGGCTTATTCTCTTTCTCCATCATAAAAGTTTTAGGACTTGGGTTTTGTGATATGACCATTTCCATTGGATTCTAATGAGACCTTATTATTTATGAGCTATGTGTCCCAGTACTTTGCTACATTCCATGGTGGGCATGGAGATAACTTAGCATCCTGGGAAGGCTTCTGTGACCACTGTCCTAGTGAGTCCCTCCCTCCTTACTACCTGTCAGGTTACCAAGCTGCTGGTCCCCTCGTCTATGTTTCTCTGGCTGTCAGTGTCTATAAGTGAGGATACCATTCCAGGGAGGTGCAGGTTCACCTACATGGAGTGTGCATATGCTTTTTTACATGATTAAATGAGGACAAGGAATAAACAAATGTGTCTGTATAGAACGTATGAACACCAAGCATGTTCAGGTTTTTCGTTTTTTCTTTTTTTAGTTTACCATTGATTCAGTGCCACTGTCTTGTTTCTCACGTGGTCCTTCAAGCTTTGTTTTCCGAAAAGGAAACTCATTATTTAGAGAGGATAGGTAATTGTTCAAAATAACCCAGCTGATGAGTGGCAGAGCCAGTACTCAAACCTAGGCCTCAGGATTCCATGCTGCCTCTTCATTTAAAAATAAAATGATTGGGGGCTTCCCTGGTGGCGCAGTGGTTGAGAGTCCGCCTGCCGATGCAGGGGACCGGGTTCATGCCTCGGTCCGGGAAGATCCCACATGCCGCGGAGCGGCTGGGCCCATGAGCCATGGCCGCTGAGCCTGCGCGTCTGGAGCCTGTGCTCCGCGACGGGAGAGGACGCAACAGTGAGAGGCCCGCGTACCGCAAATAAAATAAAATAAAATAAAATGATTTGGGGTTCAGAACATATTTTCATGAAAATTTTGTAGCAAAATGATAGTTCCTAGACCACCTTACAAATAACTGATTGTGGAAATATTGTGCAATGGCAACAGAAATCTGTTCTGATGCCATAATGGTAATTAAGCAAAACAAAGAAAAGTTGATTAAGAAACCTTTTGTTTTTAAGTTTTTTTGTCTGATGTTTGGGAAAAAGATAACCTTAAAGGTGGAAAGAAGACAAAAGATAATGCATGCAAAGAAACTTTTTGTAGCTTCTGAAGGCAACTTCTGGTAATTTGCAAGGCCTTTAGAGGTTTGTAGCACTGACTGTTTTCTCTTTATACATTAACTGTTAATGACTTTTTTTCTCATTGATGAAATTATACATCTCTGACAACCCCAATCCATCCCCATCCACATAATGGAGCAAGAGTTGGGAGAGAAAGGAATCCTAGAACTGAGTGCTGAAAGGAAAAGGAAGGAGTAAATAAGGTTTGCACAGATCCCAGGTTGGAGGGGAGAGACCTTGGACAGTTCTCCCACTGCTGGCCTTCAGGTGGCGCTATTGGCCCAAGATTGCTCGGTTGGTGTTCAGAAGGTAAATGGTTTGCGACTGACATTCTGAAATTGGTTTGAGGTCATCCTCTGCTCTTTCAATGGATCTTGGAATGGACATGAAAAATTCTTTAATTTAAATACTGGATATTTAAATTGCCAGAGCAGTTTTGAAATTAACTTGGCGGCATTCCTGTTTAGGAGGGTTTTTTAATATATTTCTTCTCTTGGTTTTTCAAGATAGGTTTATGCCTTTTTTCTATTTGGAGATCAACTCCTTTTCATCCCAGCTGAACTGTCCCCCAGGATACTGTCTTAGTCAGCAAAGACTCTCATCTCACTGTAAAAATTTCATGTAAATTAGCATATTCTGCCAACAGGTACCCTTACATTTGAACTAGAATGGAATGAGGGTTATTCCACCAGCAACATTCTTTGTTTTTTTGTTTTTTTTCAGTTAAGGAACACTCAAATGCTTTTTTTTTTTTAATTGAAGTATAGTTGGTATACAATATTATATGTTACAAGTGTACCATATAGTGATTCACAATTTTTAAAGGTAATACTCCATTTACAGTTATTATAAAATATTGGCTGTAGTACCCGTGAACGTTCTTGATTTTTATGTATCACCTATATAATCTTCGATATATAGTACCTATAATTTCTGCATATTACAGATATCATTCTTATACTATTTCAACATTCTATGCCTCTGAAGAAAAAGTTACTGTTTTCAGCTAATAAGAATTCAGCTAATTTTCATTAAAGCAGAATATATAAAATGGAAGATAAGGCAAGTAACATCACAATTCATAAATGCCTTTTGTTCAGGAATAAAATGAATCTTTTGAGCTGTTGAGTTAATTCCTATAAGACTACTATCTTTGTTTTTCCCAGCTGGCTCTCAGTCTCTAGGCAGAATTCAATCCAGCAACCTGGAGGCTAAATGACCTCATAACTCATTAGCTGTTCTTAGAGCCATCTGGAGCCCTTGAGGAGAACAGCATTCAAAGGGCTGATAATAAAGACAACAGCATAATTATTTCTCCACCATGATTAAACCTTTAGGTGGCAAGCAGTCAGCATAGTTATTATGCAGATTGCTGAGGTAGGTGTTTTCTGAAGGTATAATAACAATGCTGTGGTAGGATAACTTGTTTCCCTGTCCTCATCTAGCCTACAAATAGGTAAGCTGACTCTCAGTAAATAACCTATTGAGTCATAAAATCATTCCTTGTAAAAGAGGCAGTACAGCTGGGGCATAATAGTGTGTGAACACCAAATGTAAAAGATGCAAAAAGGGGCTTCCCTGGTGGCACAGTGGTTGAGAGTCCGCCTGCCGATGCAGGGGACACTGGTTCGTGCCCTGGTCCGGGAGGATCCCACATGCCGCGCGCAGAGCGGCTGGGCCCGTGAGCCGTAGCCGCTGAGCCTGCGCGTCCGGAGCCTGTGCTCCGCAACGGGAGAGGCCACGACAGTGAGAGGCCTGCATACCGCAAAAAAAAAAAAAAAAAAAAAAAAAAAAAGATGCAAAAAATGTAAAGCATGCAAAGGAAATAGCCACTTGGACTGTGGATATTTCTCAACGCCAAGGCACATCCTGCCAAAGATGTGAACTGATTCACGTGTGGCTTGCCGTGTTTTCACTTTGTAAACCGTTCATTCGATAATCTGGGAATTTCTTGCACTAACCTGTTTATCTTTCTTCTCATTTTCTATAGGGACTCTTGCTCCTTGCTGCGCAAGAAATGTCGTCACTTTCAGAATATGCCTTGCGCATGAGTCGTCTGA